GCCTGAAAAATGTTTTTATCCCTATCCCACCACGTTCCTTTGGACTCCCTTTCAACTTCAGCCACTTCCTCAGAACAAGAAATAACTGCCAGTCGAGTCAGTGCTTCCCCTCCTCTAAACACTTGGTGAGCGCAAACCTCAGCCGCTCTTATTTCTTGTGTTTACCCAACGGATCACAGCAAAGACGGAGAGGAGGAAGAAGTTTATAATGGGAAAATAATCAATGGTGACATGCCATCGCTGTCTGCAAGGCGATCATTAGCTGCTCAGGAGGGACCTCAGGGCTCCTGTTTGCTTGGTGTGCGGTCGCCTCTTGCAGAGAGCTGAGGCTGTAGGACAGGCATCAGCAGGTGCCTCTTCTGCTGCTCCTGCTACAGCCCAGGGAATTCAGTGCGAATCAGGCAGCTAAATTACACCTCTGGGTTATTATCTGTGGTATTAATTACAGTGTTCTCCTTAATTATCCTCTCTTAACACACTCAGCTTGCGGGAACAATGCAAGGTTGGCAAACAGTGGTATTTAAAAACGATTGGGCCAGAGGCTCAGCTAATATAAAGCAGCACAGCAGGTTTATGAAAAGGTCAGCCTGTGCTGGAGCTGGAGTTTACCCACTGTTTTACGAGGCTGTGAGCTGAGTTTCAGAGAGGCTGACACGTCCCAGCCAGCTGGCTGGAGTAGAGGTGAACTGTTTGGATCCCTCATTCTGTGGTCTGCATTGTAACCATGTGCAAAGTGCTGTTCCCTAGCACAGGTCTTAGGTGATTTTCTGACCTACAATAAAAGAAGCACAACACAATATCAGCATCCGGAATCATAACTTTTCTTTCATCTCCTGTTCCACCCTGCAATCAGACTTGGGAAACCCAGAGATACTCCGATGTATGTTGGCTGTCTGTTCTGTTCTTGAGATAACCAAACCACCATGGATTGACACTAGGTTCACTGACATACATAATGTCACATTTACAACAGAAGACAATTCAGACATATGCTTATTACCTTTGTGTGCCCTGTTCCCAGGCTGGCACCCTGCTCAGCTGCAGCATCTGAGTGAGGGATGCAGCCCAGCTCCTCAGACTCACCCACCTCTGATGTGATGGACATCTGATTGGTGCAGTCTCATTGGAGCCTTGATGCATTCTGGGGACAGAATTACCCCATAGGAAGGTATGCTTGCCCCATCATATAACTCTATTCCTGAAAAAGCACGGATATTCAGATAAAATGTACTAAAAATAAAATCTACATACTGAAGCACACCTTCTTGGACTGTGATCTTTCAAGTGATCCATCATACATGTGTTCACAGCCTCAGACCAGCTTCTCTAGCTGTAGAATATTTTCTTCCACTTCACTCAGAATGCGTGCATCTCTTTTGTTCTCATTTGATAGCTCTGCAAATCACATCTGAGCTTCTGTCCTGCAGAAGACATGGCATAAAAAAAACAACAGCACTGAATGACAGAATCATAGAATCAAAAAGGTTGGAAAAGACCTCTAAGATCACCAAGTCCAAGCCCACCAAACCATCCCTACTGACCGTGTTCTTCAGTGCCACATCTCCACAATTCCTGAATATCCTCAGGGATGGTGACACCCCTCCACCCCCTGGGCAGCAGTGCCACTGCATCACAACTCTTTTGGAGTGGAAATAGTTCCTAATATTTCTAAAGACAGAGATGGACACTGAAAATGTTATCCAGCTTTGTATCCAAAGCTGACTAAAGCTCCATTGGTGCTCGTGACATTACCCATGGAATAGGAGGCACTCTGCAAATATCAGCAGGGCGCTGCGTTCGTCTGCTTCCACAGTTCACAGTTTAAAAGAGAGGATTCTGAGGAACCCAGAAAATACAGCTCCAAACAGGAGATGTATATCTTGCAGTGTATAGAGAGAAGCAATAGAAATCCCATTTTAACAAACCGTCCTCCAGTTCAGAGACTGAAATCCAGTTTGCTGAAGATCACTGCTAGCTCTACGTGTATCATTTAAGTCTCTCTCAGGCCTGTAGCTGTCACAAAGGCCAACATGCTATTGGAATTGTTTATTCTGATAGAAGATTTGTGTGTTTTTCAAGAAAAAATTGTAGTGGCTGCATTTTTAACACAATCCCTACAACACATAATCAGGGCAACAAGAGTGACACTCATATTTTTCCACAGGAAGGAGTCAAGGCACAGTTAGGGCGCTTGTGTTACAATGCCAGAGAAACTATCTCTGTGTGAATTCATTAATGACAAAAAGAAAATTGCCCAACAAAGCAGCAAAAAAGTAAAACAGGAGCATATAAAGGCCCTCCATCCCCTCCTTGTAAGCCTCTTCAATGGCTCTGAGCTCGCTCTGAAAGTAGAACTGTTGTTTCACCAGCAGTGTTGCATCATAAAAATGACTTCTCCGTGTTCCTTCAAAATATTCAGGATAATCAGGTTTGGCTCCTGGTTCCTACCTGCACTGCACCAGGCCATTTCAGGTAGTTCTAAAACCCACCACAGTCAAAGGAAATCTCTGCACCAAGTTAGAGTAAATCTGAGTTCTCAGGGCCTCCCTTTTTGTCCAGAGGAAAGATGTTTATGCTGATGAATAGATTGGCATAAGAGCAGTAAGGTGCAAGAGATCCAAATCCCTGCTGCTGTTAATAGATATGAGTCACCACCGCTGCGTGCTTCCAAATGGAGCTGCAGTTTGTCCTTCGTTGTTTAGCTGGGCAAAGGCAAGTTTGCAAAACTTCATTTTTTCGGTGATTCAATCCCTTGACATAATAGAAATCTCTGTCTCAATCTGCTTACTGGGAAACATCAAACAAAGAAGGCCATTGTGTGCTAGCATTTTATTAATAGTTCACAACTTGAATTTTTCTTCTCTTTTATTCCTGCTGAACTCAGAGAAAACTGCAAACACACATATATATGTACATATATAGCTGCCAAATAGATTTCTTGGAGGAAGGCAGAAAAGTGTGAATAATGGGTTCTGAGGTATGGATAATTAACAGATCAAATACCCCAAGGACTGGGGATTTTTTTCATCAACGGCAGATATTCTCCTTTCCTATTTTTCTAAATAAATTACGTGCACCCTCCAGGTACATTTCTTCTCCTAGTTCACATAATAAAAATAGAGGTGCCTTCTGTGGGAGCAGGGGAGGTTACTTATTTGTTTTAATTTAATTTAGTGCTTCTGACAGTGAGAAAATGACAGCCCTGGCTGCAGTTAGGAACCATACAGGCAGCTGCTGCCCAAACCTCCTGACCATAGCACCTCTACCATGTCATCTCTACTCCTACACAAGAACACTGTTCAATTTAGTCTAGCAGTGCCAAGCTAGAGAAGTTTGCCGTTGTCAGCAGGACGGTCCCTTGGTGTGAATGGCTGCAGCCCGGCCCTAGGGTTCCAAGTCACATTCCAGCAGGGTTTTTAGAAATATTTCCTTACTTCTCATGTATTTATTCTGCTTCCTGGTATACCCATAGCTAAGGAACATGCAAGCCTCCGGTAACATGAAACCCAAGCAATTTGCTTTTTACCAAAGCAGGACAAGGATAGGACACAGGAAAGGATCCTTTCCTCTCCCCACACAGCTGTTTATCTGCCTCTAGAGTTCACTCATCACCAATCCACAGCTGACATATGCTCTGAAATGTGTATGCCACTTTGCCCATGTATCTTTGGAAATAAATGACTTTACAAAAGAATGGCTCCTCACTGGAGTGTTCAGCTGCTGAGTTGTGGAAGCAATCAGAGGATGAGGCCTTAGAAATGGACAGAATTGGGTGCAACCTAGAAGCTCACAAAGGCAGATTTTTCATAGCAATTCTCCTCACACAGGGTAGAGAGCCAAAGCTCTGTGTTCTGCTAACATCACAAGAAAAATGATGTAACTTACTTATGATAAATAAGCATGATAAAGTGTTTCAAAGCTTTTTTCCCCCTAATGAAACACTGTCATCCTAGAAGCAAAACAAAAGTCTTCCCTTAGTGACAGCAATTTAATAGCAGGGACGTTAATTTCATCTCTGCATCAGTGCTCTATTTTATTTAAACTCCCATCCTGCAGCCATTGGGGTGTTTGGGCATCTGCAAAGCCAGTGAGGATCCTGGGTTGCAGCCAAGGGGAGGTTTGGGGTAGGTGGCAGATGGCAGAGCGATGGAGACGGCTCCATATTACTGTGTTGGGGCAGCTGTAAAGGTTCACCAAGAGCAGCAGGGGGCTGCACCCAGGAGAAGTGAGATACGTTGCAACCACTCATACTTAGGCAATGGGATGACCATAAGCCTTGGCTAGCAAAAATGAAAATATGGCTACTGCAAGTAGGCTTTAAGGACTCAGATAACCTAAAACCATCTATTCTTCATCTTTGCTGGAGGAAGTTTGCCATATTGATTCAGCAGGAACCCAGAATGATGGCTACTACTTGCATGAATGACAATAGTTTTCCTCCTTAGAAATCTCCTCACTGGACTACAATGATGAAACAAATGAATTCAGCCACGGTGCATGGCACACCCAAATCCCATGCCCAGAACTGCAAAAGCAAGGTTTGATGTGACCCACAAACCTTGCTAAATTCGTAGCTACAGCCTGCTAAGGCTTGGAAAAAAGCGTAATTCAACATCAAGGAAAGGTGTTGGCCATGAAGCACTGTCGGGGAGACGACTCCATCAGCAGCCCCACTGAATCAAATTGATCCTCCATTATGCCTTTCAATTAACCTATGTAAATATGTGCTACTAATCGCTTCCTTAGCAATTCAGTTTCTTTGCTCATCAAGCCACAAGAAGTCATGGGCAAACACTGCTCAATGTTTGGTGAGCAGTCCCCTCCATCCTGGGAAAAACACAGTGGATAACACTACTGATTGACAGCCATCTTACCTTTCTCTGAAGGCAGACTTTAAAAGGTGATTCTCAGCTCCTTGCTGATACTGTAAGACACTTCTCACAGCCATTCTAGCCCCTGCTGTTGTTCTTAACCATCTTCTCCTTGCTCTGAAGCAGGGGCTGGTGGGCTGCCTGCCCACTCACTGAAATGCTGAAATAAGGACAGAAAAGTGTTTCTGTGGACAAGTCTGTTCATCTTATTTCTTGCTAAGAATGCAGAGGCAGATGGTGCATGAGGAAGAAGGCAGCTGCAATGGTGCCTAAAAGGCAGCCCAGAGGATTCCCAGCTGGTGATCCCAGAAATAGGAAGCCATACTGGTTTGCCTTCACTTCGTTTCTATCACATTGTTGACACGTTGCTGCTCCTGTTCCTACAGAGGACAGTGACTGTGTATCTTAACATCCATACATCACAGGACATGAACTGCCCTCTGCTCTGGCTGTTCTAAAAAGAGGATAAGAGCTCTGGGTGTTCTAAAAAGAGAGGGAGATTTCAGCTGCACAGCACCAGAAGTTCTGGCACATCAGCCCCTGTTTCAGTAGGCTCAGTTCCTTCATAGATCATGTAGAATCTTTTCCAGAAATACAAGAAAGCCAGAGGAGCTTTGATGCAATCAATCAGGGGCTGGTGAGCACCTTATAAAACCCACAGCCAGTCTGAACTCCATATGCAGGGAGAGCTGCATTAGTTTCTGATTCTGAGATTTATTTTACTTCTTGGACACGTAAATCGTAAGCCAACAAGAAGAAAAATAAGTGTTCTTTCTGCAGCAAAGGAACAAGGATGGATTCAGCAGAGACCCACTCAAATGTAATTTCATAAAGAAGCAGGACTTAAGTGATAGTCTTTTGTGTAGGCATTTGCACACATGTGCATAGTGGGTCTCAGGGCTCATTGCACTGTTAGACTTTGAACTGAGGCTATCGTTACCATTTTGCTGTCTGCCTAGAAACAGTTCCACTTCAGAGACAGTTTTACATCAGATGAGCTATGTCAGATATTTCCTATACATTTTACTGGCCTACCCTAAGGATGTAACCCCAAGGAGAAATGGACACATGGTTGAGCAGTCCCAAACCTACTGTTGCTTCAGCTTTCTTTTATTTGCTGTTGGCCTGGGATCTGTGAAGGGTACTGAGCTCTTCAGTCTTACTGTGACCTCACACCTCATATTTCAAAATCATCTGCAAGATTGGACCCCCACCCAGCTTTCATGACATCCAACCGTGATGCTGAGCTCTAGGCTTCCCATCAGCAGGGATACAACCCTGTCTGCTAAGAAGGGTTTCAGTTGAAGGGATTTTCATGTGTAATTGCTTAGGAACCACCAGAGTACGGAAAATGCTAGAAAATGGCTAGGAAGCAAAAGGCAGGAACATTTAGCAGAGGGGAAACATCCTTAGAAAGAGTGGCAAGAAGTACTCAAAGTCAAGAGCTGCATTTAAATTGTGGATTCCTCTTGAACATCAGTGCTAGAACTGGAGCTGTGACCTCCCCCTGCCTGGTACCCAGAAGTTAAGCAGGTGCTGCTGTGGTGGTTAATGCTCACGCTTCTGGTGCTGGCTGGGTGCAGTCTCAGCAAAGCAAATCACAGCCTCGGGGTTCTTCGCCATTAGAAAGTAAACTTAATTAGATTATTGCACAGATATAAATGGAAAACATAACTTCTGGAAAAGTGCAACACCCACGCACTCAGACTCTGCAGAACAATCCAGAAATGCTGCATAATCCTGTCCCTGAGAATGCACATCACAGAGCACAGTCATGCAGCCAGCACCACGAGCCGTAGCATTTTTATGTTTTGTCAATAATTCTCTCCAGCAGCTCACAAGGCTTGCAAAGCCCAAGGCTATAGCCACCAGTTTTTATGAGCATAATAAGCAGAGTTTATTTCCACAGCACAGACATAAACATTTCTAGGATCCCAGCCACGTACAGAGGGCACCTGAGACACCAGCAGCTGTCTCCAGCTCCATTTGACCCCTTGAAAAAGGAGGCATGGAAAATGCTATCCCAGCAGGCATTAATGCAGGTTAATTAAACCTAAACTGCTCGGCAGGGGCACGGTGAATTGAGAAGCAGTGCTTCTCCAGGCCGCCCAGTTCTCCAGTCCCACTGTGGCGTGATCATTAATGGTTCTCAGACAAGCCTCAGGGCTCATTTGCTTGACAAGAGCAAAGCAGTAATTTTACTGTTGAACACTTGCAAAAATGATGTCCTGACTGTTATCAAAAGTGACAGGCAAGTTATGTGAGCAGTTAACTGAAGGTTACTTTTTAGGGCCAAACTTCTGAATAGATGAGACATCAATTAGTTCACGCGTGGAGGAAGAGGGGAAAGAAAACAAAGAGGAAAAAAAAAAAAGGAGGAAGGAAATAGAAGAAGGGGAAAGGAAATAGAAGCAAAGAGATGGACTTAATTGGTCCCCCCCCAATCAGTGCTCTGAGGGACAGGAGGAGGAAGACATTAAGCACAGCAGCTGCCCATGCTCACTGGGGAGCCATGGCCCAGCCGGACGGCAGCAGCTGCTGCAGCTCAGGCAATGCAGCTGGCACTGCAGGAAGGAGCTGAGGCTTCAGCAGACAGAGAAGAAGAGCCCTTCAATCTGTGCCTCCCCCAGGGCTGTGGGGCTTTGGCTTTCCTCCACATCACTCAAGTGAAAGCTTCTTGAGAAACCTTTCCAAGGTACAAAATCATTTCTGCTACGGACACTTTGAAGAGGACCAAGATTAGCCATAGAGTGGAAGTAGCTGGGTGCCCTCCAGTTCAAGGTTTTTAGGAAAAAATAGAATATTTGAGATTTGGGAAACTGCTAAAGGAAAAGCTTTCCGTTCTGACAATGTTCTCCAAATTAAAAAACAAACAGATAAAAAAAAAAACAACCCAACATTGTCAGTGAAATCAAATATCAGATTTGAGTTACTTTAAATAAAGCGTTAGTTTCTTTCAACCTTCAAATACAATATCCTGCAAAAATAAGAGCTAAGTGAAGATACAGTGCAATGCTACAATCAAAATGAAGCCTTCAGTTTAAAGTAATGAAGTTCTTGTTTGATTTTACCCCAACTCAACATGGAACCACAACTTTTCTTCCAAAACAGACATAAAATAGATGGAGCCTTCTCTGCACTGAAGCATCTTAGCTGCTTCACCTGATGGCAAATGTGAGAAAAAAGCAAGAAAAGGAAACTTACAACCTGTGCCCTCACTTATTACCATGAGCTTGGTGAAGCATGCCCAGATCAGAAAGCCACGTCCCCATCACCTGCAGGGCAAGGAACCAGAGGTGTCTTCCCCATGCCCTGCGTGTGTTCTGAAGGGCTTTGCTGCCAACAGTTTCTTGTGTTGGCTGCCAGCTGGGTAGGCAGCTCTGCTGGGTTTCTCTAAGACAGCTCAGAACAAACACAGTGGATCTCTGATCTTTACCAACAAGAAGATTAATGGGTGGCAGAATGATAGAATCATAAATCATTACAGTTGGAAAAGACCCCTAAGATCCCCAAGTCCAACCATCAACCCACCCCCACTGAGACATAACCACGTCCCTCAGTGCCACATCTCCACTGTTCTCAAACACCTCCAGGGATGGTGACCCCCCACCTCTCTGGGCAGCTGTGATACTGCATCACTGCTCTTTCTGAGAAGAAATGTTTCCTAATCCAACCTGAACCTCCCCTGGCACAACTTAAGGCCATTACCTCTGGTGCTATGGGGAGATGCAGGGGAACTGGGGAAATAGGACTGAGACCCGAAATCTGTAGACAAACAATGCAAACTCAAAGGTAGAACAAAAGCTTTATATATATATATATTTTTATAAAGCTATATATATATATATATATATTTTTTAATAGCTACTCTCTGTTATGATCAGCAGAAGGAAAGAGAAGAAACAGCCTGTTTGCATCTCTGCCTCCCTCCCACGCCAGCTGCCAGCAGCACAGGGCATGTGGTCCTACACAGGTGGGTGACAGTCACTGTCTGTTGCCTTAGGGACACGCAAGGACACTCAGCCCTGGTTCCACATCCCAGCAAAGCCCAGAGCTGTGTGCTTCTGGGAAGGCACAGAGATGGTGCACTGAGATTAAAACATACGCTATTTATTGCCAGATAAGTTCAATTTGGGGACTGTCAACCTTGACAGAGCCGTAAATAGTCACAGGGATGGGCTCAAGCTGAATGGATCCCATGGGTTTTGGATGAGAATACTGCAGTTGGGAGTTTCTTTCTCTGAACATCCACTCTCTCTTCATCCCTCCTCTTCACCCCACCTTTTCTGATCTTCATCTTCCCCAGTAAGGCCAGAATTTGCTACGCTGGCTCGTTCATGAAGCATATCCCAGCTTAACTGATATAAGCAGACTTGATGCAGGCAAGGACTAAACCTTACAGGGAGCACCCGTTGGTTTTCCGATCACATCCGGACTGGCTGTCAGGCTCCAAAGGCAGCAGGATTTATTGCACTGAAACACAGCAGCAGCAGAAGCCCGTGAGGAGCCTACGGAGCTTCATGTACAGGAATAAAAATTTCAGGGCCGCTTGGAGATATGAAATATTTCTTAATTACTTTCTGTTCCAGCACAGCTTGAGGCTTTTTTTTTTTTTTTCCTTCCTGTTGTTGTTCTTGGGGTTTGTTTGGTGGTTTTTGCCACCTTTTTTATTTTAATGTGGCTGGTAGCAAAGCAGTATCAGTGCCAGCTGCTGTCTCATAAAGGACAGGCAATGGCTTTGCTGGGGGACCGGCTGTTCATGCAGGATGCTGGCACTGAGAAGGTGACAGCCTCTGTCAGCATGGGATCATTTACCTCACACTGAAACACATTAAAAGCTCCTCTCCCGAGACATTTATTCATAATGGCTTTGTGTAGAGGTGTATTATTGTAAGGTTTGCTTAAAAGCAGCCTGGATAGGCTCCTCACATTGACTCCTTCCTACTCCTCACCAGACCATGCAGTCATGCTCCTGCTGTTCAGTAGCATTTTTAACATATTCCTAAGGCACAATTTTCCCTATCGTCCCTAAAACTTCACCTTGCTTCCTCTCCTCTCCCTCCTGCTCAAGCTCTAAGATAAACGTGATGTGGTTCACTGCCAAGGTCAACACCCTCAGATACCAAAGATCCACTGGGTTTCCCTCATAACCCACTGCAG